ACAGAGGAAATGAACTGATTCCTAGAAAAGTACAAATGACTACAACTGAATCAAGAATATATAGCAACTCCCAAGAAACCAATAACAGCCAATGAAATAGGAAATGTAATTAAATACCTATCAACAAAGAAATTTCCAGGTGTTGATGGATTCACAGATGAATTCTACAAGAAATTTATGGAAGATATAATCCTTATACTCCTCAAACTGTTCAATGAAATTGAAAAGGAAGAAATCCTCCCCAAATCATTCTTGGATGCAAGTATTATACAGATACCAAAATCATGGAAAGACACAAATGGAAAAGAGAACAACAGGCCAATCTCCCTGTTAATCTCCCATTAACTAGATTCAAAAATCCTCACTAAAATCCTAGCAAATTGAATACAGAAAATCATCAAAACAATTACTCACAATGACGTCATTGGATTAATCCCAGGGATCTAAGGATGGTTCAATATATGGAAGTTTAAAAATTAGTACAGAATAGCATTAGAGCCAAATCTAAAAATCACATGATCATCTCAATTAATGCAAAAAAGTCTTTTGACAAAGTGCAACACTCATTCATGTTGAAAGACCACTTGGAAACTGGAATAGATGGCCTGGACTTCAATCTGATAAAAGCCATCTATGAAAATCTAATGGCTAACACAATTCTAAATGGAGAAAAAATGAAATGCTTTACTCTCAGATTTCGTACAAGAGATGGATGTCCCCTATCACCACTCTTTTTCAACATAGCTCTGGAATAATTAGCTAGAGCTATTAGAAAAAAGAGAAATAAAAGGAGTAAGAATTGGTAAAGAAGAAGTTAAACTATCATTATACGCAGATGACATGATACTTTACTTGGAAGATGAAAAAAACAAACAAACAAAAAAAAAACTCCACGAAGAGGTTCCTAGAATTCATATACAAATTCAGTAGCATAGCAGGATACAAAGTTAATACCAAAATGGCAATTGCATTCCTCTACACAGATAACAAACACCTTGAGATGGAAATTAGAGATACAAGATTTTTTACAATAGCACCAAGGAAAATGAAATGCCATGGAATTCATCTAACTGAAGAAATCAAAGCTATTTTTAAGGAAAATTACAGTACTCTGTAAAAAGTGATTGTAGAGGATTTCATAAAATTGAAAGATATTCCCTGCTCCTGGATAAGAAGCACCAACATTGTCAAGATGGCCATACTCCCAAAATTGCTTTACAAATTTAATGCAATCCTTAGAAACTTCCTTAGAAACTACTATGAACATACCTCACAGAGCTAGATAAAGTGTTCCTAAAATTTATTTGGAAGCAGAAAATACCTAGAATAGTAAAGTCTATTGTGGACTTTAAAGTCAAGGCAGGAGGCATTATATTTACTGAGTTTAAATTACACAACTAAGATGTTGTGATAAAATCAGCATGGTAATATTAACAAAATAGGCTTGAGAATCAGTCGAATAGATTAGAAGATGCAGAAGCCTCTACGAACACACTCAGCCTCTTTATCTTTGACAAAAGTGCCAAACATGTTTACTGGAGGAAAGATAGCTCTTTAACAAATGGTGATGGAAAATCTAGTTGTCTGCATGCTGCAAACTAAAAATTGACACACATCTATAACCATGCATTAAACTAAAGTTCAAATGGATTAAAGATCTAAAGATTAAAACAGAAACAGTTATACTTTTCTGCTGGTTCTTTAAGACCAAGATAAAGTAAGACCTATGCAAAAAAATTGTAGTTTTTTCATCTGATAAGGTCATTGAAATCCCCTCAG